TGGAATTCTAGAACTTTTATCTTCAGGTGGCATTTTAAAACCCAACACAGGGACCGCATGCATACTACCAACACCTGCACCCCTTTTTCCAACCAGAGACTCCAGAAAATTCCACCCCCGGACCCGCCTAACTGGGAACAATATTGCCATCCTCGGGTGGGGCGGGCTACAATGTTTTCCAGGTGGCAACAATGTCACCCCCACTGCCCCTCACCACTAGTGACAGAGGCTTTCCTGGGTTCAAACCTTGCTCAACTTCCCGCCATTCACAGAATCCTGACGCCCAGCTTAGGCACATAACACACCCAGGATTTGTGCTCCCAGTGTCGCCTCCAAGGCTGCAAAGGGCTCATGTCCTATGTGCCAAAAGCAAAACAATGCTAAAAGGCCACTTGTGAGCAGATGGAGCAGCGCTCACAGCTCCCTAGTTGTGAAACTCTTCCTCCAAAACTCAAGCGAAGACCCTTCTCCATGACCAGAGCAGCCGTGAACACCCCAGCGGGTGCCTGCAGGGAGAAGAGCAGCCGTCGGCCAGGCCACGTCCCCAAAGCCGAGACAGGCTCCGGGCTGGCCGGGCGGCGGCACAGGCCCGTGGCGACTCTGCCTGCGCCCGCCTCTCCCGGGACCCGCGGCACGCAGCGGGCCCGAGGCCAGCTGTTCCGGGGACAGCGGCCTCAGATTCCCCCCCCCCCCATGCTGGCTGGGCCACGGAGCCTGCAGGTCTTTCGGACTCTGGAGGCACAGAACTAGTGAAAAGCCCCAACTATGCTGTTGAAATAAGCCAAAGAGAGTAGCAGCAAGCAAGTCTCATTATTTCGTTGAAAAACCCAAAGATTTCCAGGTTATCATCACTACGGCTTAAAGCCAATTGCTCAGACAAGACACCTCACTTGCCAATCTTAAGGAGACATCTCCAAGGGGACACTTATGGAAGAAAGTCCCCTTGGGCGAGAGACACTGTAGGCTGGGGTAGGGTGTTTGGGCCTCCTTCCCAAGGTCAGGTGGCCTTAGTCACTATGAGGAAAAGGTGCTGCTCTGAATTATTCAGCGGAGCCTGTTGACAAGGGAAGTAACTCAGTTAAGGAGCTTGTCTTAAAAATTGAGGTAGACAGTATACACATTAAAATAAGTGGATTTAAGCATTCAGTATACCACAGTCAAGATATGGGCCTATCATCCTCCAAATGTAAATGTCCTAAAGCTCCTTCCCAGCCAGAGGGATGTCTTTTTAAAGGAACAATATTCTCAAACTGTTAACGTGATCACTTTCTTCAAAGAAAAGGAATTATTTAAGCTGTGGGTGGAACCGTTTATGAACCTCACTACCTGGCAGTGCTTTCTCTCCTAAACACTTGTCTTCTACTCAGAACACTGGTTTGTCACCTTTAATCTCAAATTTCTGGCGTTCTAAATCCAGGAATGAATAAAAGGGCCAAACAATTAATTTCCAAAACGTTTTTCATGAAAAGCTAAAGAGAGTAAGTAGAATCTTGCTCAAAACTGAGCAAATTTTATGTTAAGTATTAGTTACTTCAACCTGACATTGCACATGCTAAAAAGTGAATCTGAAGAGCTTCCGAGTACCTCCCACCCAGGGTGAGTGGAGAGCTTCACTTCTCAATTCACACTCCCCAGTGCAGTTTGAAGGGTTTTCTAATTTTAAAAGTGAATCAATCTTTTACAAGTCTGCCAACACTGAGCATCTACTGTTTCAGTCTAAATAAAAATATAGGTGGATCTTTAACTGGAAATATAAACTGACGTTTAAACTAAAAGCAGCTCTCAGGAGGGAAACTCCTGGATTCAACCCCATTCTGCTCGCCCTGCATTTGATCCCAATCTGCAAGTGAACTGGCTCCATTTTTCTGTTCCTGGGATTTGGATCGGTATTTACCTCAATCATTCATTTTTCTAAAAGTGCTTAAAGAACATGAACCCATATGTTAAAACTAGGAGTCCATTCAAAGTTTAAAAATGAAAACTGCCCCCTAGCTTCTTACCTAGAAGAAACCCTTTAAAAGGAGATGCCCACAACAAGTAGATTAGAATTTCAACTTTTTCCCAACAGGAGAAGCCAGCTAAAGGCCATCAGGCAATGGCTCCGCCCTCCTCCCCAAATAGCAGGTTAGGAGTGGAAAAGGTAGCAGCGCTGGGCTCACCTTTGCGGTGCTCGGTACCCACTCTCCAGCTCACACAGGCCATGACCCCCACTATGGTTTTTAAAGCCTCTGCCAAAAGTCTCCAGCTCACGCTATCAAGACTTTCACCAACACCCTTTCTCACCGGTCTACAGGTAGATCGCTTAAGTTACTGACCCCCTCCGGCAGAGCCCGCTTCTCAAGACTTTTGGCCTGCCTTTATTGGGTTCGGGGGAGCAGAAGATACTCGCGTAATACCAAAGGAAACGAGAAAGGGTTCACACTGTGTGAAAAATAAGCAAAAGTTTACTCGACAGCCCAAAGGGCGAAATCAAGCCCGAGGGTTGCGATGTAGCCCTAAGACCCTTCGCGCTCCGGCGTTCCAGCAGCGTACGGCTGCCTTGGTCTTTTCCAAGGAAGTGGAGCCCCTGGTTGAGCCGGGTGGATACCTCCTAACCAGGGAAACCGGTTCCTGTAGGGCTTGGAGTCCGGGCAGGCGGGCGCGGCCCAAGAGACTCAGGCGGGTGAAGATAACGTCGTCCCCTTATTCTGCTTCTATCTCGGGGTGGAGCCGTGGGCCTACGAACGGCGATTTCACGCTAGGAGAGTTCAGGGGCCAGAACACGCATTTCAAACAATATAGGAAGCAGCCGCGGCGAGAAGGCCTTAAGACGGGGGGCCCTTGGCCCTCAAAGATCCACAGACTCTCCCACTCTTACCCAACATAAGGAGGCAAGGACTACCACGCTGTCCCAACAAAAATAAAACCAGTCTTCCCCTCACAAGTGCGCACGTGGAAACCAGGTCTACGGAGGCACACCAACTCCACGCACTCACCCACACAACCACCACACAACCACCCCTTCCGGGCTCACGCCCTATTTTAAAGGCAACAACCTATGAGTTTTCCAAACAAAAATCTGAAAATAAAGGAGCCCCTTCTCATCACGTTGGGAGGCCTCTGGCGTGCCCGCGCCAGGAGGCCACGTCTACACAAACACACCTATCTCTTCCCAACTCATGCCTAACTGAAGACGATTGCCGCGTTTTGCCACACACAAATTAAAATCGGAAAAGGGAGGATCCCACGCTATGGGATATTTCGGGGCCCCTCGCGACACTTACAGAGAATCCACTTCCACATACTTCCCAGGTCATGATCTACTTTGGTAGCGAGGACTGCCACGTAGCTGAAGGAAATACAAAGCAAATCCGGAGAGGGCCTCCCCCCCTCGCTACGGGACCGGCCGGGAGACCACTGTTGAGCATACACGCAGTTATCCGGTGAACACAAACACACGCCCCCACGCACTCACCTCGTCGTCGTGGTGCTGGCAGAAGCCGAGGCGCTCGGGAAACACTGAGAGGATGGAGAAGGGTGGGCCAGGAAAGGGCGGCCCGAGCCCCAGCTGCTGCGCCGCTGCCGCGGCACCGGGACCCGGCGGGCCGCGCTCGATGTAGTGGTCCTTGGTGAGGCGCACGCGCTGGTGCGCTCGGACGCAGTTGTCGCACAGGTGCTCCTGGCAGTCGAGGCAGCGCGAGGAAGCTGCGTTGCCCTCATCGCACGAGCTGCAGCCGTGAGGCCGGCGCAGCAGCAACGCCGACGGGGAAGCGGCCGGGCCGCCGGGTGCCGAGCGGGAAGCCGCGGGCGGCGGCGGTGCCTGCGGGAGTGGCGGTGCGGGGGCAGACGCGCGCGGGTGCGCGTGGTGAGCGTGGTGCCGGTGGTTGCTGTGGCCGCTGGCGCCCGCCGGGGCGCCGGCGCGCCCGTTCTTGGGCGGCGGCTCGTCGGCAGTGGCCACCACCGCGTCAAGCAGGTTGCTGAGCAGGAAGGCGGACGAAGGCAGCGCGTCCATGCCCGCCGCCTCTGTTAGCACTACTTTCTGGTCGCACACCGGGCAGCGCAGCTTGAGCGGCTCTCCAGGCGCGCCGCCGCTCGCCGCCGGCAGCCGGTGCGCCTCGAGGCAGGGGCGGCAGAAGGCGTGCAGGCAGGGTAGGACGTGTAGGCGGCGCGCCGCCGCCCCAGGGCCCCCGCCACCGCCCCCCGACGACGTGGACGTCTGCGAGGAGGACGACGACGCGGACGAGTTGGAGGAGAGCGGCGCCGGCGAGCCGCACATCTCCTTGCACAGCAAGCAGATCTGGAAATCGGTCTCGGGGAACGAAGCCATTTGCAACCCAGCCCGGAGGAGGGAGGAGACCAGAGAGGAAGAGGAGGAGGAGGAGGAGAGAGCGGACGAGGTGGGTGGGGGAGCCACCGACTCACTCAGAAAAATGCATCGATTAGGCCTGCAATCCGGGAGCCGGCACCAGAGCAGCGCTGCCCGCTAGGCTTCGCCACGTCCGGCCCGAGCGCTGCCACCCCCGACACTGCAGGCATTAAATGCCACTATCCAGCGGCAACACAGATTCCTCCGGATAACTTGGGGGCCGCGTGCCTTCCGAAGAAAGAAGACCGGAACAAGCCCCAACAGGCGAGGGGCGAGCGGGGGCAGGGAGGTCGGAAGACTCCCTGGAGCAGCTGGCGCTTCGCTTCGCGATAGCCGAAAGGAGTTCCCAAAAGGAGGGTTCTCTGTGCAGTCCCAGTCCTGGCGAGAGCAGAATTTGGTTCTACGAGTATTTGGTGCGTTGCTTTTCTTTAAACGAATCTAGTCTGTTCTTGGGAGGGGAAGGCGCCCCAAAGTAGTAAAGGCGGGAGCGGCGCGTCGCCAAGCCGGTGTCTCCCCGCGCGACGCCGGCTGCCCCGCCGCATGACGCGGCGGCTAGGGGCTCCTGGGTGGCCCGGCGTGCTGCGCTTGGGGCTTGCGCACCGCCAGGCGCGGCCTCGTCTGCAGGGCGGTGGGCCCCGCAGCAGCTGCAGCTCGTGGTGGCCCAGCCGCGGCCGCACGCGTGCAGTACGCACGCGCGTCCCACGCGCCTCGAGTCTCCCGCGCGCCTGCCCAGCCGGGCCGCGGCTGCCCGCGCTTAACACGCACGCGCGCCCCACGCGGCCCGGAGCCCTCGTGCCCCCGCCTCGCCTGGCCTGGGCGCTTCCCGCACGCTCCTTCCCCTTCGGCTTAGCGCGCGGGGCCGCAGGTCCCCGCGGGCCGCCCTGAATTATTCATCGGCAGGAAGATATTAGATGTACCCGCTCCGCGCGGGCCGTCGTGCAATGCTATCCGAGCTCCGCGCGCGCCCTGCGCCCCTCCTCCTCCTCACGTCCGTCCTCTCTGAAACCTTGGCAGCGAAGGGGGATCACATTTCCTTTGTCATTGGGCCATTTCGCCCTCGCCTTGGTCCCCCCTCCGATCCCGAGCCTCGGGGATGGAGGCTCCTCTCAGGCGCGCTGGAATCAGTGGAACCGGCAACAACCCCGCGCGGCGAGCTCGGGAGCCGCGTGGCCAACGCCGCCGGCTCGCGCCCGCGTCATCTTCTTTCTGAAACGAATCGCCGATCCGGACGCGGGTGGCCTCGGCCGCGCTGCGCCTACCGGGCTTTGCTCTCGCCGTGCCCCGGCCTCCTGGGGCTTTGCACAACTCCCCCAATTCGGGTTGCGTGCGCGCGCGCGCGGCCCCCTCTTTCTCTGCTTTGCCGCCTCTTCCTCCTCCTCCTCCTCTTCTCTTCAGTACGCCGGTTATTGGGACTGATCGGAATTCGGAATCCTTTTAATCTCCAAAGGAGCAAACTCACTTCCGCCCGAGTGCTGGGAGGGGGCTGGGGGAGGGGAGGCAGGGGAGGGGGCTCCAGGCAAACAGGAAACATTAGCCCTCTCAGCACGGCCCGCTTTTGTGTGCTCCCTCCCTCCTCCCTCCAACCTCCTCCCTTCTCCCGGCCGCTGGGGAGATGAACGCCCCCGGGCTTCAGTGTGACGACCTTTGAAACCTTCTGAGCGAGGAGCAGAGAACGACTCTTCCGTTTATTTAAAAAAGAAAAGATTTCATTCTGAATCCCTGGCTCAACCGAGACTGATATCCACTGCCTTGGAGATCTCGGTTTTTACCCACCTTTTTTTTTTCTTTTTACGTTTTTTAAAGGACTGTGCGTATCTGTGATCACCAAAACATCCCACAGTTGTGTGCAGTTGGATGCGTGGAATTAAGCGAATCTGAATTCTGATCGGCAGAGGGGCCAGAGTTCCCTTTTGAGTTTTAATGGGGCTGGGGGGAAGCAGGGGGCAGCTGTTCTGGGGAGGCGACCTGGTGATGGCCCCGCAGCCATCTGGGTGGTGCCCGAGGCCGCCTGAGCGGTTCTGGGAGAGAAACTTGCATGGCCCTGGAGAGAGACTCACTTGGAAGGGCGAAGAGGGCCACTTACCAGGATTTAGGTAGTATCTGGCCTGGAGGCCAACGGGGTAAAAATTGTCCCTTCTTAACACTATCTCGCTGTTAGTGATATCCTATTTAACCTGGTACAGGCAACAACCTGATGATTCTCAAAAACATGGTGTTGTGAGAAAGAACCCAAACACAAAAGAGTTCATACTGCGTGATTCCATTTCCAGGAAATTCTAGAACAGACAGAACTAAGCTATGGGGAGAGGAAAAGTACCCTTGGGGATGAGGAGGTATTGACTGGGAAAGGGCATGAAGGAACCTTCTGGGATAGTGAAATAAAAATAGATTGCCATGTGTGTACATTTGTCAAAACTTATAAATGCCGTTTAAGATCTGTGCACAATTTCACTGTTTAAATTATACTTCGATAAGCAATTTTAAAAAACACCTCGGTGTCCAACCTTCATAACTATGCCTGGATCATAAAGATGGAGAAATTTAAAAATACACTACGTGGACCTCCCCAGCTCCTCTGGTTTTGCTCATTGGAATCCATGGGATGATCACCCTGGAAAGAGCCCTTAAATCAACCCAGCTAGACACATGTGCCGAAGGCCCTAGGAAGCTGCAGAAGTACCTCTCCAAAAGGATGAAGCCATCTCAGGGGCCAGGGTGCTGTCCTGTGATGGGAGCATTTCCCAGGCTGAGGAAGAGCCTGGCAGCCCCACCAGGAATGCCTAAGCCCTCAGCTGCCCCCAGAGCTCCCTCCTCAGCACCTGGAGCAAAGCGAAGATCAGTGAACATTTACTGAAATGTGTAAGGAATGAAAAATTACTGATCAAATAAAACCAAAACAGAGCCCCTCCTTTGCCAAACGAAGAAGCAAAGTTTGTATAATTTAAAAATTAAAAGAGGAAGCTTCTCATGCCACCATCTATTCCCTAAACAATGTATTTCTTCCATAATTTGAGACCTGTGTGGAAACATGGAATGCTCACATGAATCAATGCACTCCTATAATTTTTTAACCATAATTTTCTACCGTACTGGCCTTGCCATAGAGATGTTTCATGTAATTTTGTTTTGTTTCGTTTCTTTTCCTTTCTTTGATTGTTTTTCCTTCTCTTTTAAAAAACAAAAACAAGAGGAAAACAGATGGGGAAAGAGAATTGCCAGAAGGAAGATGGCCCCAGAGGGTCAGAGGAGGGATGGCCCAGACCTGCTGTCTCCCTCTTAGTTTGGCCCCACCCACCACCAAAAAAAAGAAAGAAAGAAAAAGAAAAGAAAGATGACAAGGAAAAAAATCTCAATCGTCCTCCTGGTCCTGGTCCTAAGACTCAACATGTATTTTGAAAACGAGTAGCAGAGGTGGTGCGTCCGCTGAGCCATCACGGAGGAGCAGGAAGGCTGTAACTCCAGAAAGAGGAATCAGACTTGACAGCGGTTTGTGGGTTTGTTTCCTGGGGACCATTGCTCAGAGGAAAAAAAAAAAAAAAAAAAAAGGAAGAAAAGAGAGAGAAGTGGGGGTGAGGTTTGATTTCTCATCATGAAGTAGCTTGCTTGCTTTCTTTTCTTGAATTGACAGCACATTGCCAGGCAGCAGGCCTGTAGTGTAAATTGTTAAATTAGCACATTCCTAATTTTGTTTAACAATTTTTTAGCACCAGTAGGAAAGAGGGAAATCTTTAAATCAACTAATTTAACCCCACTTGTATAAGAAATACAGTTCATAGCTATGTTTTTTTTAATATGGCATAGTGACAGTATTTGAATCTAATAAGGCTTTATACAGCTTATCCATGAGAAGCCAGAGCTACACATCCAGATGAGGAGCCAAAGACACGGTCCACTGCTATAAACTACATTGTATTAAATGTTTCATTGCCATCCTAGCTAATAAACACCCTTTGTTAGCCAAGGAGGAGGACTGCAGGCTTCCAGTTTTACCTCCACTCGTTTACATTTGAAAGGGAGTCTATATGCCTTCAAGAATCCTTAAATCATCTTGTATTTTAATAATTAATCATTTGTTAAAAGAAACTAAAAATACAAAAAATTAGCCGGGTGTGGAGGCAGGCGCCTGTAATCCCAACTATTTGGGAGGCTGAGGCAGACGAATTGCTTGAACCCGGGACCCAGAGGTTGCAGTGAGCTGAGATTGTGCCACTGCACTCCAACCTGGGTAACAGAGCAAGACTCCGCCTCAGAAAAAAAAAAGCCCTAAAATTATATAAGCAATACATTCTCACTCTTTCTTGAATTCGTCTGTAGCCATGTTTTGTATTCAAAGGTGACACTAGCTTCTGCCACTCTCAGACCTTGGGTTGGGGGGTTAGGCCACATTTCCATCTGAGCGACTTTGCATCTGCTTTCTTCATCTGATCCTTTAATTAAATATTCGATGCACCCGCTTGTTTTGATGTCAAAATTGCACCTTTCACCATCATCCTCAGGGTGCATTTAGATAACTTTTAAGTCCATAAATCATCAGAGTATTTTTTTAAACATTAAACCAACATTACATCATAATTACTATTTTGAATGATGGCAGGGGGTGAGGGGATGGGGGAGGTGACCAGCCTCACCTACTGAATCATTGCCTGCATCCTGCCAGTTAAGGGAGGATGGAGTTCTTACACACCGGGCCAACTCTTCACTCCAGCCTGACTCTGGCTTGGAGTCATTAACAGAGTATGTCAGCTGCTTTCAACAACCCTGAGTCCAGAACAGCAACATGTCAGATGGTATCATGGAAGCTCTAGTCACCTAGAACTTTATAAATTAGAATGGAGAAACCCGAATTGCACATATAAAAGGTAAAAGTAAATATCTAGCTTTGGTAGATAACTACAGAACTCAGCTAAACTAACACTTCATCTCCACTATTTTTTTTTCCCCCTTTTTTCTTGTTTTTAGAGACAAGGTCTTACTGTGTTGCCCAGGCTGGTCTCAAACTCCCGGCCTCAAGCAATCCTCCTGCCTCAGCCACCCAAAGTGCGGGGACTACAGACTTGAGAGCTCCACCACGCTTAACTGGAGCTTTGGACAAGTTACCTAACCCTTTGGTGCCTCAAATTTTTAATCCATATAATGGGAATGATACAGGTACCTGACTATCAGGGTTAAATGGGTTACTAAATGTACAGTGTTTAGTATAATACCAAGCATGTGTAAGTGCTCAATAAATGTTCACTGCTTTTTGTTTATTTATTTATTTTTTTTCTTGAGATGGAGTCTCCCTCTGTCACCAGGCTAGAGTGCAGTGGTGCAATTTTTGCTCACTGCAACCTCTGCCTCCCAGGTTCAAGCAATTCTGCCTTAGCCTCCCAAGTGGCTAGGACTACAGGAGCATGTCACCATGCCCAGCTAGTTCGTTTGTATTTTTAGTGGAGATGGGGTTTCACCATGCTGGCCAGGCTGGTCTCGAACTCCTGACCTCGTGATTCACCCACCTCAGCCTCTCAAAATGCTGAGATTACAGATGTGAGCTACGGCGCCGGGCCCCATGTTCACTGTTTTTTAATCATTGGTATTCACCATGTGCAGTGGCTCACGCCTGTCATCCCCACTCTCATGGAGGCAGAAGCGGGAGGATAGCTTGAGCCCAGGAGTTCGAGACATACCTGGGTAATATAGTGAGACCTCTTTATCCACAAAAAGGGGGGAAAAAAGACAAAAAAAAAAAGTATAATAATTGGTATTCAGCAGATTGGTTTGCAAATTGCCTGCCAACCCTTAAGTCTGTCATTGTCTAATCACTACCCTCCCCTGGACCTCAGCATCTCACACAATAAACCACATCCTCCTTCTCCTCCATCAATGAAAGTTGCAGTCTTGCCTCCTGTCATTCCCAGCTCAAGACCCCAAAGTAGCTACCTGCTGCCAACCATTTTAAAGCTCAACTGTCATTCTGGATTTTTGAAAATGAAATTTGTGTCTTTCATAATAAGGGTAAAACCAATGAAAGTTGTTTTTAAAATATAGGCTGGGCATGGTGGCTCATGCCTGTGATTCCAGCACTTTGAGAGGCCGAGGAGGGCAGATTGCTTGGGCCCAGTAGTTCGAGACCAGCCTGGGCAACATGGCGAAAACCCATCTCTACAAAAAATACGAAAAATTATCCGAGCTGGGCATGGTGGCTCACCGAGGCAGGCAGATCACCTGAGGTCAGGAGTTCGAGACCAGCCTGGCCAACATGGTGAAACCCTGTCTCTACTAAAAATACAAAAATTAGCGAGGCATGGTGGCACACGCCTGTAATCCCAGATACTTGGGAGGCTGAGGTAGGAGAATCGCTTAAACCCGGGAGGTGGAGGTTGCAGTGAGCCGAGATCGTGCCCTTATCTCAAATAAATAAATAAATAAAGCAGAAAAATCAAAAGATATATAAATCAATACATGCTGTTAAGCCTGACCCGCTTCTTACTCCAAATGCTGCCTGATTTTGTAGCTGAAAATTTTTATGCCATTTATTCATCCTTGTTTGGCCTAATGCTGTCTTTTACTCATTCGTTGACTTCATCTGCTGTAGAATTCAAGGACTACCCTCTTACCTAGAAAAGGTAACTCAACTGCTTAACCTGGCAGCCGAGGACCTCTCTAGTCTCTCATAACTCCTACCCAGCATTGCTTCCTTTTTTTGTTTGTTTTTAAACTTAATTTAATTAATTAATTAATTTTTTTTTTTTTTTTTTGAGACAGTCTGCTCTGTCACCAGGCCGGAGTACAGTGGCGCGATCTTGGCTCGCTACAACCTCCACCTCCCAGGTTCAAGTGATACTCCTGCCTCAACCTCCCGAGTAGCTGAGATTACAGCCATGCACCACCATACCAGCTAATTTTTGTATTTTTAGTAGAGACGAGGTTTCACCATGTTGGCCAGGCAGGTCTCGAACTCTTGACCTCAGGTGATTAAACCGCTTCGGCCTCCCAACGTGCTGGGATTACAGGCGTGAGCCACCGTGCCCGACTCAGTATTATTTCCATCACTCTTCCACACAAGGCCCACCCACAACCATCATATACCCAGACTCAACTGCTTAGGACCCATTATGGCTTCCTTTTTTATTTTGCATTATTATTATTATTATTATTATTAGAGACAGGGTCTCACTGTGTTGTCCAGGCTGGAGTGCACTTGTGCCATCGTAGCTCTGCCTGGCAGTTCCAACTCAGCCTTTTCCCTCTTCCCAGAACATGACTACTTTGATTAATAAAGCATGGCAGAAGTAATGCTATGTCAGGTCCAGGCCTAACCTTTAAGATAATTGGCAGCTTCCACCTTGGTCTCTCATAGCCTGAGCCATGATGTAAGAAGTCTGACCTTCCTTCTAGAGAGACCACATGAAGAGGCTCAGAATCT